GGTGTACAAAGCTTTGGTTTGAATTCCATCAAGACTCTTGTTGTCAAGATGAGTATAAGTTCATTAATATACAGCAAAAGGAGTAGTGGCCCCAGAACTTTGCTGCGGGATTGATTTTTAATTCTTGAACCTCTATCCCTCTGAACTGTGCCTTGCAATTGAAATAATCAAATCTTAAATCTGTGTATTGTACGTTTAATAAGGAACTTTCATAATATGTGTATTTTGCAAGTTGCTTATTTAATTTTTGTATAAGAATTTAGTACCCAGTACCTTAGCACCTGGTATAGTCAGTCTCAATCTTCATCATGTTGGCTTTGGACTCTCCCCAATAAAATTTAACCATATTATTACCTATTATTTGTGGGTAAAGCCATTAACAAAACATTTATCTTACTTGAGTGGCAAGATATATTTCTTTGTTTCTGATATATTTCTTAAGTGTGTGTTTTGAAAAATTATTTTAGGAGAATATAACAACGTTGCATCGAAATCATTTATCTCTTGGTTGTTAAAAATTTGTATGAAACTTTAATCAGTAGACAACCTGTTTACTTATAAAAACGGTAATATCGTCGATAAGGGAGAATTGAAGAAAAGGAGTGCGCGTAGTGGTTTTCGAACTCACTGTATATACAATAGTAATTAGGGCCTAAAAGAAGAAAAATATATTTTTCTACTCCCGTGTGTAAAATACCTAGTTACCCACGGATCTAGCGTGCGGGACGCGTCACTTTACCACGTCAATTTCGTTTCCCACGAAGCCGAGCCATTTCGGACATTTCCGAGATTTTACCGCACGGATTTGGGAGCGATCGGATGTTTTCGGAGATATTTCCCACGCTTTGAATTTTGACGTTTGTCAATTGTGACGGTAATGTCAGTGAATGTATTCGTGTTGTTTTGCGAAAATGTATAAAAAAATAACGGTGGTAGAAAAAGTATAGTATGCAACACGTTCGGTAAACTTTTTAAGTCGCTCGTTTATTAAACACTCGCTCCGCTGCGCTCCGCTCGTGTCAAATAAACTCGTGAGTCAAATGCCGTTGCATAGTATACTATTAATGGCAACTAGCAAATATTTTGTTTGAATGCAAGATGTTTTGTACCACAATTGTGTGTATTATCAACTTTTACAAAGTTCTATACTGAATATTCACTTGGCTGAAGGTATGATACAGTGGAAATTCTATTATTTAAGGATCCACATTCACTGGCTATATCCATTCGCTAAGGTTCAATACCTGCTTCTGGTTTGACCTTGCTGACGGCTTGTCTGAAGACCGTTTTGTCAACCTTGTCTAGTCAGCTCGTCCTGTGGATACGTAGATCCTCCGTTTTGCATTCTCTAGACTTTCGATATTGAGAGTGAGAAATTCGTTATACAGAGTGGATTAACAACATAGCTTTGTGTGGAGATCTAACAGTACAACAAATTTTGTTCGTAAAACAGTACGTTATACAGAGTATCACTATATATAATTTAGATAAGCTTTGGAACTCCCCAAGAACAGGTGACGATGTATCACGTCACATTTCCGCGCATCAAAATACCGGGCGATTAAAAAAATTACCTTTTCTAAAACCCACCGCATGGTGGCGTCCTTGTCGGGCCCAATCATCTGCCGTTTGTATCGAATCTAATTACGGTCGAAAACCGTGTGCGACGACAGTGACGGCCGTCCTCGGGGGGTGCGTCAGTCGGCCGTCCGACACGCGGACACTAATCATTGCTGCAATCCTCCGGGTGCATCCGGATACAATCGGAACAATTAGTCGCAATCGATTGGGGCCCCGTGGGGCTCCTAACTTAGTTGGTCGGTTTGTTTATTGGGCATCGCGAGTGCCCGCTTTGACGGGCGCGGTTCGCCGACGCTGAAAATATCGGTTAAAACACCCACCCCTTCGCCCCGGTGGCGGTTTTGGGGGCCGAATTTGTCCGATTTGTTCGCGGGGAACTTTGGCCACCTCTGGTATTTCACGTTTGAGGTTTTTAAGGTTAGTGTTAATTTCAAAAAAATCGAGACTAATGAGTTAGTTCAAAAAATTTCCGCATCTTAAGCTTAAATGTTTTCTTTTACGACGGTGAAGAAATATTTTGTAAACCTTCGCGACCATGTGTGAAGGTATGATCCGTAAAGCAGGCTTCAAAAGTGTTCTTTTTTTATCATTTTTGAAACACCAAGCACCTTTGATTGAATTTTAATTGATTTTTTTTGGCCAGGCGCGTCGGTATGGGGGTACTCTTTTTTCCAAAAACGATATTTCAAAACAATTTGTATAAATTTTATATTTATATATATAAAGTTTATATTTATTTATATTGTGCGTTACTTTGCCGTCATTTTGTTACTGAAATAGGGTGAATATTATTATTGGGATTCCCCGAATCGCTAATTATCGTATTCGGATATTCCTTGATGAGGGTTATGGATAAGCTGGATATCACAAACGGATAATAATTTATTATAAAATACATATTATTATTGAATAATAATATTAATAGTCTTTATTGAGATATTTTATATTATTGAACAAGATTTGGACGAAATCACTTAAAACAAACTAATATTATATTACAATAATAATGAAACAACATGCTGTAATAATAATAATAATAAGAGTCTAAACATTCATTATTGTAAAATACTAATTTGTTTAGGACAGACACTTTTGTAATTCCAGTAAGTTGACCTTAAATATCTTCCTAAAAAAATATTTATTATAAAGCTTTAGCTAAATATCCCTCATATTTACAATAATTATGCTGGCGCATATCCAGAATGCTTTTTGTCCTTAGAGGAGCATCCGTATCAATTTCGTACAGAAATAATGGACAATCTTTCAGTTACGTTGGTAAAGAAGGAAGAAACAGATATTTCAGTCATTTCATCGCAACTATTTTTCTTGATATACGATCAAACCATAAACCAGTCGGGAACAGCTGTTCTGGATTTTTTGTAATCTGTATCGGCAACGGTTAAGAACGGATAGTATAATGGAAGACAGTATAACTTTAGACAGGACACATGCCTCGGATAGATTTTTCGTACTTTAAAATTCAATATATGTTTGTTTGCATATAGTATTTTGAGGAATATGAGTCTTTTCGTATAAATTAGAAATGTGGACACGATATCTCAACTGACATCATCCGTCCATTATTGCTCCGAAGTTTTTTTTAGATAGATAACGTTCTACTATTGCAAGATGTTATTCAAAACATTTTTTGACTAGTCAGTTCGGAAGTGGTCAATCGACCAGTCGCAACACTACACAGGAAGCATAACTAAAAGTGAGGAAGTCAGATTTTTTTGTGATTTTGTCACATTGCTACTTACGAAAACAGTTTTTGTTAACGGAACGGATTTGAATTTTGAGTTTTTATTCACAATTGTGTAATTGATTTTCTATATAAATTTATACAAAAACATTTGCGGATTGGATGGTTTCATTTAATATAATTTTTCTTAACCACGCATGGATTAGGTTGCTGGCTATTTATAGGATCACTTCCTTGGTTCCCAGCTGCAAAAAATCTCGCAGTAAACACTACTACTAGGCGAAATGATTTTTATATATTATTTATTTAATTAATATTTAAAAAACTCCACTTAGTTTATTATTATTGACTGAATTAAGAGACTGATTGAATTAACAAACGAAAATCGAAAATGGCATGTTGGATATGAAACACATCTACTAGACCTTCCTTCCACTAGACCTTAGACGACAATCGAGACGAGAACAATATCTCAAAAACTGTGTGTTAAGACAATATGATCTTCTTCATCTTCAGATGAATGACTGAATAATGATTATCCGAAACTAAATATTGTCACTACTTAAAATGATCGCAAGGGCTGTTTTCAGAGGTAGAGCTCTGCATAAAAGCATTCCTTTACAAAACAATGACTTTATTAGCTTCTAACTTTACACAGCAAGACCGGTATGACTAGAGAATGCAAAACGGAGGATCTACGTATCCAAAGGACAAGCTGACTAGACAAGGTTGACAAAACGGTCTTAGGACAAGCCGTCAGCAAGGTCAAACCAGAAGGAGGTATTGAACCTTAGCGAATGGATATAGTCAGTGAATGTGGATCCTTAAATAATGGAATTTCCACTGTATCATACCTTCAGCCAAGTGAATATTCAGTATAGAACTTTGTAAAACAACACGAATACATTCCCTGATGAAGCCGTCCGAATTGGCAAAGGTCAAAATTCAATGCGTGGAAAATATCCCTGAAAGCATCCGATTGCTCCCAAACCCGTGCGGTAAAATTGCGGAAGTGTCCGAGTGGCTCGGTTCCATGGGAAACGAAACTGACGTGGTAAAGTTACGCTTCCCGCATGGTATATCGGTGTGTAATTAAGCATTTTACAGACGGGAGTAGAAAATAGAATATTAAATAGACGACAGTTAAGTCTTGTTAGTGATTAGGGTGTATGGGTGACGCTGTAGGAGTAGCACCTTTGCTGCGAAATGGCCACACCCAAGCATCTGCGAGGGTGGTTTCAATGCACTGGTCTCCACAGGGTCTCCAGCTCTCACTTGTTGGCTCCAAGCGCCACACCCTGGCAAACTGCGTTGGCGCGCAGGCTAAACCAAGTGAGGGTAGCCAGATATGGCGATAAGCTATTGTTGGGCAGCAGCACCAATAGTACCATGTGGCGGTGCCGAAGATGTACTTCACACACAGCGTTACAATGGATGTGGGAGGCGCGACTGTAGGAGTCTCAACGGCTTCCACACTGCGGTGCAGAAGGGAAACGGAAGTCCCACTACAATATATTTCCATATATTCAACATGGCTAAAATAGATATAAACGCGGCCCTCAGTCCGGGGCACCCCTTAAGTGGGGAGAGGGTGCGAAGAATCCCCCCGTCCTTAGAAACTAGCAAAATGCAAATACATAGAAATAAAATAAAAATTGCTACATGGAACGTACGTAGCCTATACATGGCAGGAAAACTCGCCAATATAGATGCAGAAATGCATAGACTCCAGATCAAGATTTTGGGGCTAAGCGAGGTGCGATGGCCAGGTACCGGGACTCACAGGACTAAAAATGGTGTCCTCTACTACTCTGGTGGCGGCGATCCTAAACACCAGTATGGCGTAGCTGTGTTCATCTCCTCTGAACTGGAGAAATCCGTAATCGATTTTATTCCACTCGGGGAACGAGTGATGCTTCTGAGACTGCTCACTACTCATAGAGTTATGAATGTGGTTCAAGCGTATGCTCCAACAGGGGACAAGTCTGATGAGGTGGTTGAGGATTTCTACTCTACTTTAGAAGAAGCCATGAAAATAACAAAACAAGGGGAGTTAATAATTGTTCTTGGCGACTTCAATGCCAAAATCGGGAAGGGTGCTGATGGCGAGGTTTGCGGTGACCAAGGCCTTGGAACACGCAATACTAGAGGTGACCGCCTGGTACAATTCTGTACAGAACACCGTCTCTCTGCTGCCAACACTTTTTTCAAACAGCATCCTCGACGTCTGTATACGTGGAAGTCCCCAGTCGATCGTGATGGCCATATAGTGAGAAATCAAATAGATTTCGTCCTCATCAAGAGTCATCTAATGAAGTTTGTTAAATCAGCAACAACATACCCTGGTGCAGACGTAAAGAGTGACCATAACCCCGTGGTGATAAATCTACAGCTTCGTTACTTCACTAGAGTCCAACGTCCAAATAAACCTAAGCGAATCGATGTCAAAAAACTCGTTGATCCCGATATACGAGCTAAAGCAACCGAGAGTCTCGAAGCGCGTTTACAAACAATAAACAATTATAGTGACGAAGACGTGGAGCCTCGGTGGACTGTTCTAAAAAAGGCTCTTTTAGACACCCAGGAGATCGACATCGGGTATGTACAAGCCTCTAAAAAACAACAGTGGATGACGGACAAGATCCTTAAACTCATGAATGAGAGAAGAAAATACAAAACCACAGACATTAACCGATACAGGGAGCTGAATAGGGCGGTCAGATCGGAATGCCGGAAAGCAAAGGAGGGTGGCTAGCTGAAAAGTGCAGTGAAATGGAGGCACTACAAAATAAGCACGACTCGTTTGATCTCCACAAAAAGATCAAGGAATTCACAAACACACAACGCAAACAGATCCGCGGTATTCTGAAGGACACTAACAACAAGATTTTAGTGAGCGTTGAGGAAAAGATAAAAAGATGGAAGGAATATGTTGAGACTCTGAGAGTGATTTTCCGAGGTGCAGTTTCACGCACCATTATAGCCAGTTGGATCGCCAACCTCCGAAGGGAGACGGCGTCCTAAGAAGAAGTGATTAATGATAATCTCTAAGAGGCAAGCTCGTCCAGTTTCAGAAGGCGATCTGAAGAAGACAGCAGCATGTTTGGCAAAACGCCAGTGACCTTGCAAAACACATCCAGAAGATGCGTCCCTACATCAACAAGAAAACTCGCAAAAATCGGGAAACGGAAACGGCAATTTTTACCTTCAATAAATTGTTCTAGTAATACCGCAGTTTTTGAGTACAAGTTTCGCAGTGAGTCCTAGAATTCACGCTTTTCAAGAACGCTTCCGTTCCGGCCTATGCCACCGTTGAAATCCCCAGGGAAATGCGGGAGGAGTCGGCATTGTCGAACGCCCTGGAAAGAATACAGAGAGCCGGGGCACTGAATAATCGACAAGATTATATACGCTCTGCTATCGGCTGGCGAGATAAACGTTGTTTGTAGTCGGAAGTGTGTGACGTGTCGTGGATAAGTTTAGAACTCCTCGTTTGTCCATTAATTGTCTTTTCGTGTCCTTACTTTTGACATATCCACGAAAAAACAAGAAAATATTTCTTTTGTGTATAAAAAATAATACCTGACACAATAAACTAAGGAGATTATTTTTAACTTCCTGATGTTCGGAAGTGGATCCTCATAGCTCTTTTTTATATTCTATAGCGGATTGTAAATCAGGCAGCAGACAAGCTATATATAGGGCAGTACACCTTTACTCCTTTCAGTTCCCCACGAGAGATCCCCTTTTCCCCCTTAACTTCAACCGCTCCCTTTTCTTTTGTTTTTAGCGTGGAGACTTTTGCCCTAACTTATGGCTCTTCACGACCTGACAGGTTTCTTTCCCGGGCCGCGGGGGTAGATTTATGGGGTTGTTTTGCCCGCTTAGGGAGACCTCCGGGGTATATTTATCATTTGGTCCGAATTTGGTTAAGTTTTGCGTATATATACGTTTCTTTGGGATCGCGGATAAAGGATGGCGGCCGTATGGGGATTCTATTTTATATATTTCTGGGAGAAAATGGTCGCCGACGGCGTAAAGGGAACTTTATTAGAGTAAAATTGAAGTCCAATTTCTTCTTTTGGCTAGTTGAAAGGTTTGTTTTCGATATATAAAGGTATGTAAAAATAACTTTAAAAAATCACAAACCAAAATTTTGCACAAGATAAGAAATATAGGAAAACAATCAATATAATTACGAAAGCTAACCTACAATCCAGAACAGCTCATTTTTTCAATATTTTCTTAAATAATCTCAATATACACAGATCAAAAAGTTAACTTTGTAGCCCTTTATCTTTAAAATAAAACGTTAAAATTTAAAGTAGTACTATTCTAGCCAAAAAAATATGTTGATAAATGACTTATTTTATTTATGTAAAGATAGGCCTACGGTTGGTACAATCCTAGGCTATATATAATTCCTCAATAACATGGAAATTAAAATATGATAAAGGTGCATGTATACAAAAAAAGTCGTTGCCCTTTTTGCAGGAATTTCTCGACTGATTAGTTCATCCTGTGTTGTTTTTAATATATTCTTTAACTAATAAAAATATGAATGATGACATCAGAAAGCATGATCTAGCATACATTTTTAATTGATGAAAATGAAATGAAAATCCTGCTATTTTCAAAATTTGTTTCTGCTGTTTCAAAATCGTTTTCGATACAACAGGCGGCCCCCTCGGCCCCCCGCCAGCGTCCGCAAAATAAACATTTAACAGCGCTCCGTATCCTGCGGTAAATACGCTCGAATTCCCATACTCCCGAGTCCGTTAGCAGTAATATTTGCCCGGGTTCCTGCATCGAAAAAATAATTAAATAATATATATAAACAATATGAAGCGACGGCGTCGCGGAACGCGGCGTCTCTCGTAGGACGTCGGGGGCGTGGTTCTGCGGCGTCGCCGCCCTCTCGCGCTTCCTACAGGACCGCGCCTACTTCTTATGCCCATAGGATTCGGACTCCGGAGGACCAGTAAGGAAACTCGACGCTCTAGGATTTTTTTTTCGCAACCGCGGGGGTGGGAGGCGACCGACGTCCTGGAGGTCTTCCAAGAAATGAAGTGTCGAAATCGAAGAATATTTTTTTTTGCCTCTAGGTTTTAAAAATTCAATTTCTGTTTTTTTTTTGTTATTTTTTAATCTTTTACAATAATTACAATGTCCAGATATTTTAAATTTTTGCGCAAAAATTTTCACAAAATTACTTAGTACAAAGTAATATGCTTACATACTTATGTCTTAAAAGTGTTGGTTAAGATCTTGATCTTAGGTAATCAAGAATTTTCGAATATTACAATAACAAAAAAGCAACAAGCTACAATAATAAAACTCAACTTTATTATTGGTAGAATTATATTTTTTCTTCCTAAATTCTAGAACGGCAATGGATTCGAAATATTTATTAAATGTTACATTTGATTTGATCCCATTATAGCTCAGTCAGCGTTCGAATTTACATGGATTATGCTGGGGCATGACTAGAATGTTGTTTGTCCTTGGAGAATTTCATACCATATCACTAAACGATCCTTCAAGGGAATTCAAGTAATTCAACGATAGCCTTAATTACAAAAATTGCTTTTAAAAATTGAAACAAGTATTTAAGTGTGAGCCATTTCATCACAAATTTTTTTTCTGGAATGCGATCAATTTTTCTCAAACCGTGAACGAATCGAGCACAGCTATTTCTTGTAATCTGTAGGTTGAAATGTAGATAAGGTTTCAAATTTTGACATGGAGGTGCTGTTGTAGAATTTTATTTTATTTTCGTAAGTGCATATGCATTAAGGAAATTTCACAATTCAAATTAAATCATTCGGTTTTGACTCGAAGTTATCGGTTGAAGTCACACGGCTGCCAGTTGGTATGTAGATCCAAGTTATTCTATTTCTTCCTGCAGGAATTTTCCGTTACTAAGGAGGATTGGCTTTTTGCAGAGAACTGGAATTATTTAAAGTTCACCACAACGTAAATTAGATTTGCAGGACTGCAAAAACAGATTGTAGAAGTCGTTTCCATGACCCAGCAAGTATAAAGTAATTTTTCTAGTCCCCACTCTAATATACTGTTGTCGCTGACTTCAACTTTTATGTTTTACAAAAATTGTGTCAGATCCAAGGAACTTGATAATAAATCCTCGAAGGAAAGGGTTGGCGAAACCAATGGTAGCTTCTGTCGAACATTATTGCATCAAATTTATCGAGGATTTTATGAGTATTAGTAATTTTATGAATAGTTTAGAGACGAGTGATGAAAGCAACTGATTCCAGGCCGCTAAGATATTGCAAAAATTCTTCAGCGCAAGAACCATATTTGATAAGGGTCGCCTTTGTTTATGCTAAAAATGACCCTTAAAGCCTGAACGAAAACGTTTTTCCAAAATGGCCGGGCGTGATGAAACTTAAATATTTAAACAATCCAAATTAGACTAAATTTGACTGTAAATTGCCTTATGAATCTTTCATTTCGATGGAAATCGATAAAGCTAGTGCGGATTAGCCGCGTATTAAATATGAATACACGAACAATCAGTTGACCTTCAGGATGACCTTCGGTCGTCCCCGTAGCGTTTTTCCGTATCGTCGTAGACGTCGCGGCGACGTGCGTGCACAGGATCGACGCCGGGCGTCGTAAAGCGTCCCCGACCCCTGCGGGGCATATAAAAACCGCCCCTACAATTTTCCAAGAGCCGCGCGCTCGTAGGTAATCCGAAAGGGTACCATAAAACAATAATAAAATAAGGTTTTTGATTCGGCATGATTAAAAAAAGCGAGAGGGGGATGATAATTCGCAGGCACCGACCCGACGCGATTCCCCAAGGGGTGCGTGCGGTGATTTCGGCCCCTAAGACGAGATGAGGGCGGCCAGCAGACGGAAGGGTAATTTTTTCACGGAATTGGTCGGTTTGGGGTAGGTTGCGATCGTTCTTTTTTTATAGTCCGTTTCTAATACATTCGCCGGGCGCTTAGGCATAACGGAATTGCAATGATGTTGGAGACTATTTAGTTTAGTTCAGTTTGGTTTGGGGATTTTTTTTTTTTGGAAAACTCGTATTTTATATTTCGTCTTAGAAAATGTTCCGCTGCTGTCTCAGGTAAGTAGAATATTCACAAATAACGTCTACTAATGAAGATTATTTTGGAAACTGCATACCGGATGTACAAATTTTAATATGTCCTCAAACTATGTTTCTTGGGGATTTTCGTAACACTTTGGGCCAAAATGTGGTTTCTGTTTATCTAAAATTAAAAAAAATATGTTGTGGAGTTATTTGACGTTTGAAGCAATATTATTTTAAATATGTTTCCTACGTGAGAGCGATCTGTCTCGGGGAACAATGCTATGTAAATTATTTTGGACTTCCACTTTGTCAGCAATAACTTTTATGGCTCAATGAAAGTATTGTATTTCATGTAGGTATCTTAAATCAACTAAAACCTTAAATCGTTCTAAAATTTATTTAAAAACCCGTTTCTTTAATCAATATTCTATCAACACTAGAAATTGGAGTTAAATGCTTTAAAGTACCCGGCGTAATGACACTATTGCTAGTAAAATGTGAAAATTTCGAAATGTCTTAAGTGTCGGTAAAGCAAGTTGATGATTGTTCATAAGCCAGACTTAAGTGTATGCATATTTAGGTATAGATTCATATTAATATGCAGGGGTTAAAATTTTCCGTGAAACATGATGTCTATCTGCTTTTCCCATTTCAGTTGCCTATTAAAAAAATCAATATTAAAATTT